CGCGCGCAGCTGGACAAGTTAACTACAGTGATACGGGTGATGCGAGGGATCAACTTCAAACTCTCTCCACCGAAAGCTAATTTATTGGCTAAGGATATCGCATGTAGTGTTACTCGGGAAGGACGTCTCAATTCGTATTTGGCGTCAGGAGGTCCGGCATGGTTGCATGATCGTCTAGAACGAGAGCGACTTCAAGGGAGCTAAGTCTCTGTTTTTGAGTTACGTCACTCTGTTTTTGCTAATGTTCTGTTTTTATTGGTTTGTGTGGTTTGTACTTCTGTTTTGAACTTTCCATAGCTTTAATAATATTACTCAGCGACAAAAAAAAAAAAAATAGTGCTCCAAATCTTGCTTTAAACTCTATATTTGGTGTAAAATCACTCCAATAGTGCTCTATATCTTGCTCCAAAAATAGAGATATGAATAGTATTGCTCCACAACTTTTTTATTTACAAACTACCCCCTCAGTTTTAATATATTATAATTTTATACCTAAACAAAATTATATAACTAAATTATTTTATACCTCATAAATTTATATTAAAAATCATAGTTACTAAACTAATTTAAATTTTAAAATATAACAAAACATATATTAAATTAGAAAACAATGACATCACAAATGATAAACTAAAAATACATAAACTAAATTAAACTTTAAAAAAAAAAAAACTTAAACACACCATAAACTAGTGATTTAATAATCGGGAAGGTCGCTTCCGGATCCACTAAGATTATCAAAATATTGACCAAACGAAGTAGATGCCGACGGTGCTTGTTGATCAAGTCTTTTCTTTAAGATTTTTGCTTGTTCAGATTGAAGATACGCACGGAGATTTGGATCTTCTATGGAATTTAAGTCTCGATATAAAACTTTGTTTTCTTCTTTTAGTTCTTTCAATGCTAAATTCTTAATTTGTATCTCCAAGTATTGTTATCTTTGTGCTCTTGTCTTCTTTAGTTGCTCCACGAGTTGTTTATTCCCTTCTTCCAAAGTCTTGATAACATTCGATGTTTGATCATCGTTTTTTCTTTTCAATTTTTATTTTTTCACTCCACTTGGTCGTTGAGATGGAGATCCGCCAATAATGTCATCTTCGTCATCTAAATTAAGAGAAAACGAAGATAAACCTGGAGACGCTTGTGTAACAGAATCGGGAGTAGGATTTTCCGACTCTGAAGATGTATATCCGAAACCGCATAGATTTGATACTTTTCTAGTCGGAGTGGCACCATCTTTAAACTTTTCAAAGTTTTTAATAATGTTCCACACATGATCAAATTTCCAACCAGATTTGAAATTTTGATCTTGCATTAGCATTTCTTTCGCTTGATTGAACTGCATATAAATTAAATAAATATATATAAATAAATAAATATTCAAACAATACTAAGGAAATCATAAAAATATATAGAAAACTCACTATATCATCACTTGATGCACCACTTGAACGTCGATTTTCACATTGTTTGATGCATGCATGTACTTTTCTTATAGCTTTCTCAATAGTTTGTAATCAACACCGAAGAGATTTTTTTGAACGTTCACTCCAAGTTGGATTTTTTCCATTTTCGAAAGATTCTGCCACACGATCCCAAAAACGGTCGGATGATTGGTAAACACCGGTGATTGGATCTTGAGAAATTTCTATATAAACTTGACATAAAAACTTATCTTCTTCTTTAGAATATCCAGTAGAATGAAAACGAGACATTATAGTTTGGAAAATAAGAAAAGGTGGAGATATGTATAGAAAATAGTGGAATGGTTGGATGTTGTGAGTGGAACTAAAAATCAATTATGTTATTTATAGAAGATTCTAACATTTTTTTTTTTAATTTACTATGATAAGATTTGACAATACAATGATAAAGTGATTCAAAGATTCTCACATTTTACAATTCACTATGAGATGAGATAAGACAATGTCAAAAATATAACAAGATTCCCATGTTTCTCAATCAACTACGACAAGATTTAACAATTCACTATGAGATAAGACAATACAATATGAAAAAGATAACAAGATTCCCATGTTTCTCAATCAACTACGACAAGATTTAACAATTCACTATGAGAAAATGCTCATGATAGATTGTTCAATGATTATTTCTCAGAAACCCCGGTTTATAATGATGCTATGTTTCGGAGAAGGTATCGTATGTCTCGTTCTCTATTCCTCTGTATTATTAATGCAGTTGAAGCTCATGACAAGTACTTCACACAAAGAAGGGATACAACTGGTAGACTTGGATTAACATCTCTTCAGAAAGGAACAGCCGTGTTTCGGATGCTAGCGTATGGTTTACCAGCAGATGTCACAGATGAGTACGTTAAGATAGGTGAATCAACGGCAATTGAAAGTTTGAAAAGATTTTGTCGAGCCATAGTGGATATATTTTCGCAACAATACTTACGATCACCAACAACTAATGATGTTGCAAGGCTTGTTTACATTGATGAAAAACGGGGTTTTCCAGGGATGTTAGGTAGCTTGGATTACATGCATTGGAAGTGGAAAAATTGTCCTACCGGTTGGGCTGGACAATTTGCGGGTCGTAGTGGATCACCAACGATAATTCTTGAAGTTGTGGCAGATTATGATCTTTGGATGTGGCATGCTTATTTCGGAATGCCAGGCACCATTAATGACATCAACGTATTGGAGACTTCTCACCTTTTCTCCAATCTTGCTCAAGGTATAGCTCCTCCTGCTAATTATGTCATTCAAGGAAAAGAATATGATATGGGTTATTACTTGGCTGATGGCATATATCCAAAATGGTCTACCATAGTGCAAACTATTCACGAGCCAAGGGGTCCTAAAAAAAAAAAATTTGCTACGCAACAAGAAGCATGTAGGAAAGATGTGGAATGTGCTTTTGGAGTTCTCCAATCGCGTTTCGCAATTGTGAAAGGACCGGTTCGGTTTTGGGAAAAAAAATGTGATACATGATATAATGACTACATGTATAATCTTACATAACATGATAATCGAAGATGAACGTGATCTTGATGCGCCAATTGAAGTTGGAAGAGAAGCTTCACCTCCAGAGGTCGAGATGGCGGGGGATGAGAATACCCGATTTCAAGAATTTCTTGCTTGATATAAACAAATCAAAGACAAAGAAGCTCATTTCTCACTTCGAAATGCATTAGTCGATCATTTGTGGGAGAATTACGCTAATGATGAATCTTAAATAAAAATGTATTAATCTTTCGATTTTCTATTTATGTGTTGTAATAAAATTTTATTTTTAATAATATAGTTTTATTAGATATTAGTTTAAAAAAATACTATATGGGTAGAATTTGCAAACTTTGAAAGTGAAGGACTATATGAGAAATTAAAATAAAATATTTATTTTAGAGCAAAAAATAGAATCAACTATTGGAGCAAACCATTGCTCTATTTTTAGAGAACTCCAAATTTAGAGCAAAAAAATAAAGCCAACCATTGGAGATGGTCTTAATAGAGAAACTAGGTCGAAATCCGCGCTCCGCCGCGGAATATTTTTAAATGATTTTTTCAAATATTGAAGAAATGATTTTAATTAAATATTTAATATTTAAAATAATTTGAATGCAACAAAAGAACCATTCAAATTGGAATGTTAAACCGAGACCAAACCGTAAATCAATTTAGTATTCGGATAAAATTTGTATCCCGAAAAAGTCAGAAAACGATCATATTTTCTGAAAAAACATATGAACAAAGGAGAGAGATAGATTAGATAAACAGTTAAACGGAGAAATAAAAAAGAAAGATTTTTATTTTCATCTCTGAAAGACTTTCACTAATGAGAGCCAATAAGAGACGATTGCTTCACTGTGTGTCTAAAAGAGTTTGGATCTATGGCGGTGTTCCGCAATCAAACTCTAAATCTCCTACGTCTTCTTCTCAGCGACTGATGGAATTGGAATCTGAATTCAGTCCCCACAAGTAAATCTCTTTTTTTTTTCTCTTAGTTTTTACTCAAGTTTCCGTTTTTGTTTTTTTTCCAATTTGAATATTTGTCAATGCAATCGTTGAGCTTTTTATTTTTTGACAAAAGTTATGATATTTGGTTCGATCAGACTTATATGTATATGGACATGTCATAGCTGTATAGAACTCATGACTTAGATACTTGAGAATATGTTATATGGAATGATCATCTTTGATTTTAATGTTCCTTATGCATACTTGATTCATATGTTGCAGAGGCGTAAAAGGCTAAGAGATTTGTTTGTTTGTTTTTCAGAATTTGAAAAATGAAATTTTGTTTTATTATAGGAGTATAGAACGTTACTCAAATGATTTTTAGTTATTCATTAAGATTCATGATAACGCTTAATAAATCTGATAGTATTTTATTGCAATGGTTCTTATCCAATTTGATTTGTATCCAGTTTTATCCAAAAGGTAAAACATTACAAGTAAATTGAAGTCCAACAACCCTATTCTAAAATATTAAGCCCATATGTTAGAGCCCAAGAAAAGCAGGAGGGATGATTAGTGGCAAAAAAATCTGATGTGTATTAATCTAAATGTTTTCATTGGATGATGATTTTAATGATGTGTCATGCCTTGAATACTCCAAAAAGTTGATGTGTCGGGAGAGAAACTTTAGTGTTTTTATTGTATTGATTCGCTAAAATTGGAGTCAGAGGCTATGCAAGTAAATGGAGAACTACGAAAATTACCTTTAGTGAAATAACAAACTACTGGTACAACTACGAAAATTATGATTTTCTTACTAATTGTCTTACAAAAGTTATAATTAATGGAAGATTAGCCTGTCTTTGAACAGTCATTTATTTGTTTTTATACTTTACATGTATTTAAGTTTTTGGTTTGTAGATACTTTTTACTCCAATGAATAAAGGAAATATATGTTTAACCCAATTGAAAATCGAATGCGCAATTAACAAGTAAACACCCCATTTCTGGAAGAAACAATCTCCATGACTGAAAGGCTAGAGCCAATATACAAATTTTCAATGTCCAAGAAATTAGTTGTGTTGTTGTAAGAAACTGAGGCTCTTTCTATTGATACATACACTCTGTCTGTCCATCAGAGTCCATGAGTGTCACAAAAAATGAATTGGAAAGTATCCAAAACTCGATTCTATAATTACACATATACAATTCAACTAGAAGACGAGAACAATAGATTCTGAGAACATTTCAAAGTTTGTAAGAAAAAAGATGTGCTTACTTATTCATCTTCTGCTATGAAGTTTGGCTCTTCCCCTCGACAGAGGTACTCATCGCATGTAGAGGATGTTCCCCAATCTTTCCTTAGTCTCAAGATATCCTCTGTGAAAGTTGATCCCGAGGCTCCAATGAAGACGCTGGACATGGCGCATATTGTTTTATCAAGCATTGCATCCACCTAAACATTTGCATGAAGATTATAATTTAGCCCATGCCATGTTTGATACATCTCACGCTATGACGTTAATAGTGATTCAATATACAATTAGGATTTCTATTATTCTACAAGATTCATAAAACTATAAGCTTTTATTTCTGTTAAAGAGCAATCAAATGCAAACCGCAGAGAACCAAGGAAAAGTAAACATGTTTCCATGAGATTCTATGCTTTGGTTTCAACCATAAACAAAAGTGTAAAAAGGCTCAAGGAAGAGAAGCAGTAAAATTCTTACCTGGGAGTCATCCTCTATACCATGTCGATATAGCAATGCGTCCCACTTTTCAGCTGAATTACGAGGTGGACGTTTGACAAGAGGCACAATTTTTCCATCTACCACAACAAGTGACTGAAGCAGACTTGTTTCACTTTCTGCAGCATCTGTTGAAAGATAGATGACTGCGCCATTGGATCTTTCCACTATCCGAGCGATGCACTCTGCAGCTTGTGGAATTGGATAGAAGCAACTTGGCGATTTTGCGTTACTGCCATGAAAAAGGTTCTCCATTTTCAGAAAACTACAAGTCTAACCTGGCCCCTAATCTAGTTTTAGGAAATCCATCTCAGTAAAATATCGTAATACTACGGTGCAGTGCCTACGTGGTGTGAATGTAATATACTAACCGGATAGATTCACAAACAAGAATGGAATATTGTTTTCATAATCCCATTCTGTAAAGTATGAGCTACACTATAAAATTCAGGGTAATGTACCCAAGAAAGCAAGTTGAAAAAGCCATATGAAAAAGCCATACCAGAATTTGAGGAACCCATGTCTGCGAAAATGAAGTGCGATGAAATTCTTTCCCAAGAAGGTCTGGATGAATCTCTGTGCAGTCAACAAAATCAGCTTACTGGGTTCGATCAGGGTCTTGCACTTGTGGTTAATAGGTCCACCAGGCTGCATCACCCAATCTTGCTCCATATCAGCATAGAAAACATCCCCGATGGCGATCACGTCATCATCAGACTTGAACTTTGTCTGTACGTCTTGCACAGTTCTCTTGCTCGGCTTCTTTATGTCTTCACTCCAAGGAGCCTCAAGCTTCCCATCAATGGAAATCCCCAAACCTTTCAGCTTCTTAATATGCTCCTCATCCACATAACAAAGCTGTGGTGACGAGAAGTAACATATGAACCGGTCAATACGAAAATGATTCTTTTTCGCCTTTTCCTTAAATTGATCAAAAGAAACAACAACATTTCGTCCCAAGCAAGTATTAATCCCCTCTATGTCTATCACTCTATCATACTGGTAATCAAACTTTGAGCTAGGTATCACCAAAACTCGATCCAACAATGCAGCAAAGAACATATGTTTCTCTAAGCAAATCAAATGGTTACTCATTTGACCCGAGAGACATATAGCGAATAGAAACTTATCCGATCTCGGCTTCCACTCTACAGTTTTCCGATCTGACAACTTCTGATCCACTTTTCTACATCTATCGTATGAGAAATTCACCGAATCAACTTCCGTGCCACCGGAGTAATTGCTACTCCTGTGTGGTGATAGAAGCACATTTTGGATCTCCTTATTCAATGAAATCTGCTTCGATACAGCAGATTTCACATCCTCAAACAACACAGACGATCTCAAATCATTCTCCGATTGATTAAGAGAAGGATTCACCAACGTACCGTTCCAAAGAGAGAGAAGCGCAAGCTGTTGTTGTCTCAGAAGATACAAAGCACGAAGCTCAGATTCCTTGACACGATTCGACAATGGATCCAGCTTAAAACTCGAGAAATTCGCCGAAAACAGTTCACGAGGATCAGTGAGTAAGAAGAGAAGGCCGATTGAGATAATTAGAGAGACGAAGACAATGACGTAACGCTTATTGAGCGAGATCTTCCAACGGCGTTGAACTCGCTGCAAAATGTCTTCGATCTGAAACGCCGATCTCTGATTCCCGCCGGTTGTTGTGGCGGTAGAGGAAATTGGATCTTCCCGGTGACGGATTCGAGTATCGTTTTGGGGAATCAAATGCTGGTGGTCTTCTTCATCGTCCGACGAGTTTCGCTCCATCGCCGAAGAGTGAATGAGCTCACGAAACCTAACAGTACGATTCTACACTCAATTTCTAGGAAAATGAAACTACATTGAAGAAGAAGAAGAAGTAATGATAGAGTAGAGAGATTAAGCGTGAAGAAGAAGATTAATAATTTCTTCTGTAACTAACTAAACGAGTCAGTGAGATGGTGACAGTGGGTGGAGGAGATTAAGTCGGTACCAGTCATACCGGGTTTAATTGATGAAAAATGATTGGTAAAATCTCTTATTTGCAATACAAAGAACACAGCAACGTCGTATGAACCGTATAGATATATATATTTGAAAAAGTTAATTTTTTTTTTTATCAAATAATAAATAAATTAGCATGAAAAAGTAAAAGAAGAGAATTTAAGATTTATAACACGTGGCAAATGGAGGAAGCTGCAATTATTTGAAAAGTTACTGTTGATTTAGTAAATATAGATTTTAAATTATTTATAAATGTGTATTTATTATATTTAGTCATTAAGTGGGTGGTGATTTGAGCTGAAAATAACGTATGTCATAAAATTTACTCAATTTGTATAATATGAATATATTAGTTCATTGTATTTTATATGTAGGTATTTCAAAACAAACTACAATCCCACACCAATAGTTCTTATAGAGCAATGACATACAAACCAACGACATTCACCAATAATCCGTTTCTTTCTCAAACAATGATGTGCACATTCTTGACAGAAACCAACTCTGTTGCGAGCATGCGAAACTCCTAGACGTTCATCTGGTGGAAGTTCATCTTCTGATTTTAAATCAACTAGAGAGTTCGTTGTTGGATAGAAAGAATGAGATTTCTCTTCCGAATAAGATTTCACCGTAGCATTTGACGTACCTATTTTAAATCAAAATATATATTATATCAAATTAAAATTTCAAAGGAAATTAAAAAAAAAATCTACATAGTATCTTCATTAACGAAAATGAAACTTACATGACAAAACAAAGATCACAAGAGTTGAAAGCAAAAAAATTGTCCTCATTTCTATTTTCAAGAGTTTGATAAAAATTCAAAAAAAAAAGAGAATATCAATTAAGTTGATTTTGCTAATTGTTTGACTTTGGAGTAATGTAGTTACTAAAAGTAGATAGTGTCATATTTATATACTTTTTTCAGTTATGTTACGCATGAGTTAATGTTTTTAATCGACGTTTTTGTTATAAATGAAGGTTAAAGAATCTATTTTATTTATAGTTCAAATATAACTTACTTATAGAAGTGTATTTATTATATCTAGTAATCAATTCGTCATTTAAGATAAAAATAACCTATATCTTAAAAATTTACTCAATTAGTATAAGATATGAATTATAAACTAGAAAATACAAACTAAGACGTGCAAATTCAAAAGCGGATAACTTGGCACGAAATGTTCGTACCCAACCGCATCTAACTACCTATGTAAACAATATCCCCAGAATTGGCTTGTATAAGCTAATCTAATAAAGTTGTTGACAAAAAAAAAAGATTATTGTGTATGAGATTAGGCCTGGGCATAAAACCCGAAATCCGAAAACCGATCCGAAAAATCCGGAACCGAACCCGAACCGAATAGTCACAAAATCCGAACGGATAATGAATTCTTCTATCCGAATCACCCGAACCGAATCCGATCCAAACCGAAAACCGAAAGGATATCCGAAAACCGGAAATAAAAATTATATATCCAAAAATATTAGTTCTATTTAGTTGTAATTTTATAGCAAATAATAATAATATCCTAGATTTCGGAAAAATTTTAGTTATATTTGTTAAAATTATACATATTTTTGCAAAATTTAATTAAATTTTAGTGAGATTAAACCAATTTTTATTAACATTGAACTATTTTTAAGTTTTTTTTTTCCCAAAAACTGATCCGAATCCGACACCTATCTGAACCGAAACCGAACCGATGACTCATAAAATCCGAACGGATAATAAATTCTCCTACCCAAATTATCCGAATCCGAATATATCCGAACCGAAACCGAACCGAAAATTCATAAAATCCGAACGGATAATAAACTCTCATACCCGAATTATCCGAATCCGAATATATCCGATCCGAATCCGATTTGAAATCTGAATGCCCAAGCCTATATGAGATATTTAGGTTACCACTGGAGTCGTAAGTTCGATTTATAAATTTGTACGTGTTTGAATATCATCAATAAATAAGAACAAGAAAATATTCGTTTATAGATAAGTATATAATAATTCATATTATCTATATATTTATGAATTAATATAGGTTCATTCTTGTTAATTTCATTTTTGGCATATATGTAATAGTGATAAGCCTGAAAGTTTTGAAAATAAGGTTTTTTTATGGTAAAAAAATCACATACTTTTGAAAAATAGTAAAATAAATATATTTTTTAATGATAAAAGACCAAAAATTGTGTTGCCATAAGGCCCTAGTTTTATTTGGGATGGGGTTGACTATCATCACAAGGACTATGCATAAATGTCTTCAATAGCTCCATAACCATAAAAAAAAAATCAGGTTTGATTGCCTTATCGAACTAATTAACCTTCACACCAAATGTTCAATTCATTGTTGTTTTTTTCCTTCTAGATTTTGCCAGATTCGTTTGTTCAGGTAGTCAGGCCCGACCTTCGATTAAAGCCCATGAAATAAGGTGCAAACACTGGGTTTCCATTCGAAGCAAAAATCACCTTATCTATGCGGAGACTCCACTTACTTTGGATTGTGCATTGGAAACTTCTCAGTTTGGCATCTGCCTAACTAACCACCTGGCTAAAAGCCCGACGACTGTAAGAGTGAACCACTCCAAGGCACCACTTATATATATCTTCTTGACCAATCTAATCCAAAGTTACAATTGAATTAATTACATACGTCCTCTTTCTTTTAACACTTAGCCTCCTGCTGCTTTACAGAGATTCAAATTAAGCTAACATTTATATTTATATGTAATTTCAAATGCCATACCAAACTTAATGTATCTGTTTTCTTTTCAAGAGAAGGGGGATAACAAAAGACACTACTTAGTACTGAGAGTGAGAGACGATGATAAACAGATTTTACCAGATTCATTTGCAGTCATGTTGTGCTGCATTGCATTTGCATCTAAATCACAGTTGAAGCAAAGGCAACGCCATTACAACACCGACAATCGATACTAGCAGCAATACTATCCAACCCGGTAATGCTTCTTTCTTGTTCTTCCTCCTCTCTTTCAATCCCACTTCTTGAATACTTTCCTTTTTAAGACCAATGCTTTTCTCTGATTCGATTTTCGCATTTTCCTCCTGAGGGGAATCCTCAGGTGTCGTCTGTTGAGTGGCTGCTTCCTCTTCAGCTACTTGTTGCTGGCTGTACTTCTCTACATACTCGGGAAATAGTTTCCGGAATGTTGCACTGCCACAACAGTTTGAAAAAAGTGAGAAACATAACATGTAAATGCTATATTGTTCTCTAATCAACTTCTCAGAATTATCCGAAACAGTTTTTGGTGGAAGTGGAACTCACTTTTTACAATTGAAAGCAAGAGATGACTTCGCCAACCCTTGTTTCTCGGCTACACTAGTGTTTACACTTCCCGTTGTGGGGCTGTTGTCCATCTGTGGACCACAAGGTTGTAATGCAGAAAGAAATTTAATAAACGTAAAAATTGATTGGATAATGCAGTATCACAGTGAAATAAGACATTGCCATGTTAAATCAATAAAGATCTAATCGTAAAACAAGGGATAAACTGAGAGGTTCTGCAAGAAGAAAAGTTCTAGAACTAAAATGAGCTTACCATAAATGAGAGAAGTCCTGTAAGTATGCTGCGTTCAGGAAAACGAATTGGTCAAATAAGGATCCATTACTCTGTTTATTTTAATAACTTGAACACAATTTGAATGTACATCAGATCTTATACCTTGACACTGACCACATTGGATTCCAGCTTTCTGGATGAACTGTGCATGGCATGGTAAAGCTAATTAGATAACAGACAAGTTCACTGAAATTAATAAACAAAGGAATGAAAAGAAGACTGTGCTTACAGTCACTCATAGACAAGCAGATTTTCTTTTGCGTCACAAATCGACCATTTGGTGTGGTCATTCTGCAGCCACAGAAAATTTGTTAATTAAAAAAACAGAAATAAAACACAGGAAAGTGATATTTTAAGTCAGGATTCTGAAGAACCAAAGAGCGCACGTGATTCCAGGTGGCTTGTATGGATATTCTGGAGGGAACTTGATCTTCCCATAGTAAAATCCACCTATCAAAGAGAATCCAAATATCAGAATCCAAATACTACTTTGGAATGTAGAAGATCACATTTAACATGTAAATTTTTAAGATTTGAACCTGCAAAAGGTGTTCCTTCACTGCCTTCCAACACATAATCTGTAGAATAAAACCCAATAGTTCAACTCAATTAACTACATTTATATAAATAGTGCAGTAACACTAGTAGCGGGATAAAAATACCCTAAATGCTAACAGAATGGCACGACCCTTCTCAGTTAGGCAATAGATAAGAAAAACTTTAAGTTTTCTTTTCGGTTTCTATAAGTTTTCACCATTACATATTACTGGTAATCCTGAAAACATGATACCAATAGTATCTCTGTAACTATAGCAACCAACACCCTATATGTACCTTAAGCCAGTATCCCCATAGCCAAACCTTCAATAGAATAACTAGAAAGCAGAAAATAAAGAACAATAAAAAGCCAGATAAGACTTACGCCACTCAAGAATGTCATTTGGGGAAGGCCGAGCAACAACATGCGAGACTGGCTCCTAGCAATCCAGAACAGAACATGTCAAATATACTTCCAAAGTAACATTCATAAGAGAAAACTAATCCTAGACCAAAAACCATGAAAATTTGCAAAAGCAAAGAAACCACATTTGATAAATTTCAATGGGCACAATGACACCTTGGACAGAAAAATAAAGATGGGAACAGAAGAAGAAGAAACTATACCTTGCAAAGTGCTCTGTATTCTTTTTGAAGACGCTTTATACAAGCTTTTTCTGCCATCTAAATGCTTCAGGGAGATCCAATTAATTGTAGTTCCTGTTAATCAAAACAACGAATTGTAAACTGCAGAAAAAAAAATCCAACCTTCAAGTATGAAATGAATAACAGTAATATAAACCAATTTAAAGTCATTTCGACAAAGAAACCATCACGCTTAAGTCATACATCTGGAAAACTGACATGAACAAGCAAGGACAAGAAAATATCACATGGGGAAACAAACAATGAATCACAGACCTAGGAAATGTATGTCAACTTGTATTCCTATCCAGGTGGCAGAATTACACGAAAATGGAAGTCATAAAAACTAGCTTTTCTTGAATCGAAACTGGATTATCAAGAACTTGATCTTTAAGTAAAGTCCAAACCATTTAAAGTTGCGATACGAAATAACAATTCAAAAGTGTATAATCAACATGCCATTGATGTATAATTTAGCTATTACTACAATCTCAAGACACATACAGAGAAGCAACACTTCTTAATGATCTGTTTATAAATACAAGTTAACCAATTGATACACAAAAAAAAAACATCACCTTTCAACAAAATTGCCTAAACCCATGAAAAAATATTGATTAAAAAAAAAACTTAAACATCCAATTAAAGAAAACACACAAATCATCTGAAATCGATAAAAAAATTCGAAAACAAATCAAAGAATATTCCCTTAAAGATCCCTAAGAAATACATCGACACGAACATTAATTTGATTCAGTCTAATAAAAGCGAAAGAAAGAAAATCATCGGCGTACCAGTTTGATCAAAGCTTCGTTTTGGATGACGAAACACAGCCAAGAAAAATGGCAGCCAAGTGATTGGTGACTAGGTAAGAGCAGATCCAAGGAAGAATTGTGACAAATCGAAACCGATCAGGAGCTAGAGCGAATTTAAGATTCTCTCTCTGTGTTTCTCGTCGATGATGATGATCAAATCATTCGACGCGGCACAGAGAGAAGGAGAGAGGAAAGAGAGTCGAAATAGCAAATGGAGATCGGTTTTACTTTAACCGAACTAAAATAAATCTAATTGAGTCGGTTCTCTATTTAATTATAATTACCCTATCCCGGTTCTGTATATTTGTCACTAATTGGACCTTTGGGGAATTTGACTATGATGGTCAAAGATTGACCAAACAAGTTGGTTCATATAATAATATGTAATTGGTTTTTTTTTTCGCAATTTAAATTGACTAAATATTAGTTAAAATAATCGTAACTATAATGTTTGCAACTTTATTAATAAAAAAAGTCTCTTACATAAAAAAAAAAAAGTCTTCTTCTTCTTTGAGCTATTGTATAAAGTGATGATGATGAACACAACAAAAGTAGCAGGATAATTTTTTTACAAATCAAGAGCATACTAGACGACGCAAATGAAATCGAGAATATGGATACTAGTGTTTTGAAAATGTCTTGTGAGAGGCATAAACAAAACAAAAAAAATGTGTTACCACAGCGCATAAGATCAAGTCACATAACTCTCTACATACAATCTATGTGATGTAATTAAAGTTCTCTGGTTTTAGCGTGTCCATCTTATGAAGAGATACAATATGACAAGCGTTGCGATCATACCGGCGTATTTAATCCATGTATCAACACGATTGCGCCTCTCAATGAGCCTCAGTACAGAGTTGGAGAGCCCAACAGTGTTCAGAACATCCAAAGCCTTCCGCTGTGCCCTCTGAGAATTCAAAACAACCTAATGTTAGAAAACTATTTTCCCCATTGACTTAAGCTTAAGTTAGGGGTTGGGTACCTTTAAACGGTCCCTTTGTTCGGCATATTTGGAGAGGATAGCAACTCCACTTTGAAACGAATCTTCGAGCATTCTCTTCGAATTCTTGACAGAGTTCATTCCTTGAGCTTCCTCATCAAATATTTGCAAAATATGAGCTCCTTCTCCGCTCCCTCTACCTAACAAATCCGCTCTCTCTTTCGCTTCCAACATCTTCCTCTGATTCCTCCACATGTACTTCTCCAGACTTTGGTTCAAATACTCGGCCTCTTCTCCTACTTGTTCACTCTTTCTACAGAAAAAAAAACGTCCAAATACTCTTAAAGTTTAACCACTACTTAAGCCATTTTGATGATCTATGAAAATGTGCGTAAACTTGGAATCTCAAGAATGGTTTCCTCCTCACCTTCTCCAAAGATCACGCTGGGCTTTAACAGGGATCGAACGCCAGAGACCGTCCATATTAGAACAAAGAGATTGAACCTCAGTAATATCTCGTTTCACAGATGAGGAGAGATCGGTAGGATCAGAATCGAACCTCTCCAACCTCTCGATTCCATCCCTAGCCCTAAGTAGAATCCTTTTTGCACTACTATATACCTCAGACAACCCTCCCATTGTACCAGACGCCATTATACAACCACAAAAGAGACCAAGAAAACCGCAGAATCTTCTTCTTTTGCTGAATTATATGAATGTCAACTTCTAATCTGGAACATATATACAAACAAAAAAAAAGTTGATTTTCTACATATTTAAACCAGTTTAATCAAGAATTAAGAGTAATCTACATGCCATTGACCTATAATTTACCCCTTAAGTAAAACGTGAATCAAAAGTTAAGCACCTTCAACAAGATATGCATAAACCCATGAGATTGTGAACAAAAAAAAAAAAAAATTAAAATACGAATTCAGACAATAACTCGATCACGAACCAGCAATTCGATCAAAATCCTGGAAATTCCCCTGAGAAATATCTCAAATCATAAATAATTGACGAAACCAACAAAATCGCATTGAGAGAAATCAAAGAAAAGCATCGGCGTACGAGTTCAATGTGATATAGGAAAAGAGAAAGGAGTAATGGACACGTGTAAGGTGGAGATTAGAAGTTTGGATCAACGGCTGAGATCATTGGAGCTCAAGATTATGAAGAAAGATGCGTTAAAAGGAAGCAAAAACAGATTTGGGGATCATTCATGAAATTTGTGTCAAATTGTAATCTTCTTCTTCTCCGATTCTTGGTTTGTTCTCTGAATTCTATGGAATTCTTGAACTCATTGTTTGCTTAAGCTGTTTCTTCATTCTAAGCTTTAGCACATGAGATTTGGATCGGTGTTTTATGAACATTGATTCAATTTTATCGTTTGATTTGTTATCAATGGAGAAACTGTAGTTTATCTGTATCAAAGGTATCAGAGCCAGCAGATTCTCGGAATCCATGGCGGAGTCAAGATCGCAAGCTCCAATCAAGGAGACGGTGGCTCGAGAAGCGACCGCTGTGGTTCGTGAAACGGTAGCAGAGATGTGGTTTCGATCGTGTTCGAGATACGTAGATCCTAAAAGGTTAGAGACAGTTGATTTTCCACGATTTCATGGTGATAAAATCATGGATTGGTTGTTTCAGATTGAACAATTCTTCTTAATTGATCGTACTCCGGAGGAATTGAAAGTTGGTATCGCTTCAATCCATTTCGATGATATTGCTGCGACTTTGCACCAATCAATTGTACAATCAATGTGGTGGAAGCATGTTAGGCATGATTGGCGGAGTTACAAACTGCTGTTGCAAGTGAGATATAATAAGCATGTGGAAGATTCGATTGCAAAACTGAAACTGTTGCAGGAGACTGAAGGAATTGAGGTGTATCATGCTCGTTTCGAGTCGATTAACACTAGAGTGAAGTTAGATGACGATTACTTGGTAAATCTGTATTTGACAGGACTGGAAAATGATACTCAAGTGAATGTTAGGATGTTTCAACCTCAGACGATTCAACAATGTTTAAGTCTGGGACGATTATATGAGTATGCGCATCCGCCAAGAGTGAATATCATAAAAGGGAATGATGATTATCTGAAAGGAGCTCAGCCTTTAAATTTTTCAAGTGAAGATGCAGGACCTTTGATTAACATTCACGGGCCTAATGCCTTACGTAAGGGTAGGGAATGCTTTGAGGGGAAACACTCAATTCAGCAAGAGATTTCTGCGGGAATGGAGAACTTCTTACAGCAAGAAGAGTGGAAATGTGACAGAGATTTTATCTTAGAAAGTGCTCGTTGGTGTGCTCCTTATGGGAATTTGAAGACAGAATCGGTGAATCAAGAGAAAAGCAAGATGGATACAAGAAACAAAGGGGAAGTAAAAGGCTGCTTAGAATGTGCCTCACAACCTCAAAAAGTTAATTCAACCTTTGAGGACTTTGATAAAGCTAATGCAACAATGAACCAATTAATGTCACCAATTGGATTTGTGGTTGATGATTTACAATCTGGTGGTGGAAGTGATAGTTTTTGTGTCCAGAACTTTGCAAGTCTAGTAGTTGTTGGAAATTTTCAAGAGATGCCAAAGATCTTAAATGCTGAATCAAAGGACATTCAAAGTTTTCATACTGCAATTGATGAAGGTAGCGATTCTTATGCATGCCAAGAAGTCGATGGAAAACTCCTAAGGAACCACACATTACATCAACAGAAGAAGCCTAGCAAGTATCCTAAATCATGGAAGTTCAAATTTAAAATCTCAAAGGACAGCACATTGAGATACATCAAGTTCTTGTGGGAGGATGCTAGTTCTAAGAAGAAGTTGAAGTGTGGTAAGTTCTGGAAATTTCACTACAAAAACAAGTTTATATGCAACGTGAAGTTGTTTACGTATAAGAAAAGACAGAAGAAATGGCTGTTTATGGGGAAGGCTGAAGTTGATAAAGAATTTGTTGAGATGCTTCGGAGATGTACTTCGGGTCAGACTATTGGTGCTTATGGGTCAGAGATTAAGAGCTGGGACATTAATAACCGAGTTTGGGATCCTGGAGGTTCAATATTCATGAATTTCTCTTTTAGGCTGAAGTTGTGGATATGGTTAGATGGTCAAATATGGAAAGATGAGACTACTTGGTTCATGAAAACTGAAGTTACAATGAAGTTCCAGTTCTGGTTAAGTGATCAAATATGGATAAAGCTGAGACTACTGGGGAAATTTTATATGATGTGTTGCAGCAATATCTTTCTTTTCAACCATGTGGGCATGGTTGTTTGGAGAAGGAGGATTTGATATAGGAAAAGAGAAAGGAGTAATGGACACGTGTAAGGTGTAGATTAGAAGTTTGGATCAACGGCTGAGATCATTGGAGCTCAAGATTATGAAGAAAGATGCGTTAAAAGGAAGCAAAAACAGATTTGGGGATCATTCATGAAATTTGTGTCAAATTGTAATCTTCTTCTTCTCCGATTCTCGGTTTGTTCTCTGAATTCTATGGAATTCTTGAACTCATTGTTTGCTTAAGCTGTTTCTTCATTCTAAGCTTTAGCACATGAGATTTGGATCGGTGTTTTATGAACATTGATTCAATTTTATTGTTTGATTTGTTGTCAATGGAGAAACTGTAGTTTATCTGTATCACAATGGAGGCGTGAATTGTGATTACTGCGAAGCAATTCGTGACTAGGTAAGACCAGATCCAAGGAAAATTTGTAAGAATCCGAAGAGAATTTCTGCGAAGGATTAAAAAAATAGCAAAGAGCTGGTTTACTTAAACCGGAAAAGAGGTCCAAATTAAGCTCTAAGCAGACGCGCTTGGTCGGTTCTGTATAATTATCCTATCCGGGTTCGGCTTCTCTAAACACAAGAAATTTCTAAAACTGACAATGCAGATTTAATTTCTAAAACTCTAATTTTTTTGTATTCGCTAATTTTTCATGGTTATTGCCATTATGTAAACGAAACAATCATTGCATGGTTTTAGTTTTCTCATAAAATGAAACTTGTCTTTTGAATTTAAAAAACAAATCACGATGAACTTTGCCAGGTTTGATTAAGATATGCAATTTTGCCAGGTTATTCAGATTGATTACTCTTTTTGAATAATAATTACTCCAGCAAGATTTAGCTTAAATACGATATTTTAGGTGTGTATATTTTAAAGGTCTTTTGTTTACATCGGTGTGTATATTTTAAAGGTCTTTTGTTTACATCATAACGTTCTCTTAAAGTGGATATATATATATAAGTATATACAGTATAAGTTTACTTTTATCAAAAAAATAGACCAGCTTTATCAAAAAAAAAAAAAAAAATCTGCCAGTTGTAAAAGAAACGCCATGCTAATGAAAAGCTCCAAGGTGATTACCAAAAAAAATGAAAAGCTCCAAGGTATAGTAGCTAGTTTCACCTAAAACAATTTGACAAAATTGTATTTTTATTATTAATTTACTACTTAATGTTTTAATTTTTGAAAAGTTATATTAGATTAGAATTAGATCTTAAATTCTACAAAAATTTATTTAGTAAAATTTAAACTCTTATTATATATATATGAATTTTTGTTTTGCAATTTTCCCATGCAAATGACTAAAAGTCCCAAATATTTGATTGTCTTTTTCTATCTATAAAGCTAGTTAAGAGAACAAAAAAAAGTGAAAAAAAATAATAATGTTGATGCCTTAGCAATTAGCATAGAAACAAAACACAGCCTGTTAATGTTTTACCTGCACCTTTTGAGATCTCATGAAGTTTTATTTTTTGCTAAAGAGATCTCATGAAGTTGGACTTACTAATATTGGTAAACACATAAATAAACGTGTATACATGTGCTTGTATGAAAATGAGGACACTCTCAACATCAGTGAATGTTCCATTAATTAGTTGATTAAGATTAAAAAAAATATCTCAGCGTCTGTAATAAATGATTCGGAGAAGAAAAAAAAACTAAGTTCACGTGATCAGATCTCAAAAAGTCACAGGAACAATACATATCTTACAAAGCAAACAAGCTTTACAAGTTGTCTTTCTCTATCTCCTTCTCTTTAACTCATCATATTTCTACCCAAAAATTTTCTCAAGACCTCAAAAAGAATTCAGAAATGAAGAGATTCCATCCATCAAGATCGATCTCAATAGCTCTGTTTCTGCTTTTGTTAGCTTTCTTTAGCAGCAAGTTTCACATAGAGGGACATAGAGATTTGAGAGATTTGCAAATAAGCAAGGAGATGAAGGAGAATTCTCTTGGTGGTGAAGGAGATAGCTTACGAAAAATCCCGAGGAGTCGCTATAGCCCTATACAGAACAAGTAAGTGAAACACTACACAATCAAAAATTTTCCAATCTTTACAAACCTATTTGTTTTTGAGATGTAATTTAACATCAAGATTGTGTATTTTTGTACCAGGAGAGGTCCAAGTAGGAAACATCAGATCACATCAAATGAACCATAGATTTCTTCTCTAATTTTTTACTTAGATCTTATGGTTTTTCTTTTGGTTGTAGAATAGTATTGCCTACACTTGTTTGTGAATGCTGCAATGTAGAGTTTGATACTGTTACTATTCTTAGAATGGTTTTTTCTTTTTCTTTTCTTACTAGAAAGTCTTACTCTGACATTGTTCTATTGAGTCAAGACTCTTTGTTTAGACCTCTAAAGAGTGTTTATTGGATTTTGTAGATTCGTAAAACATCTTCAAGTTTATATAGATATATTACTTGATTGCAATATGAATTTCAAAAGGTTCCACTATATACCGTGATGTATCTCTTTATCTTTCCTTCACTGAGAGATCTTTGAGAATTTGTTTGGGAACTAATGTAGATTTTGGTAACATGCTTGCAAGAGAAGATCTAGTCCGGAAGAACTTCAACTATATGCAATCAATTCGTCGTCATAAGTAATGAAAAAAATAGTTAAATTAAAGGAGACCAAAAAAATGCAGCTTAACTAAATATGTTTGGAGTATGCATTCTTCTCAATCATCTCACTAGAAAGAAAAGATAGTCTGCTGGAAACTGGTTTTGTTTTTCCTCTGTTTTGTCCGTCATTTATCTGCTCATCTTGATTTCAACTGATCAGATTATGTTGGCACAACAACAACAAAGGGTGTTGTAGGGTTTCAAATGAATGAAGTTATAACATAAATATCACCTCTCACTAAATGCCATTGATTAAAACAGAAACATGCAAAAGAAAACTTGAGAAATTTCTTGAAAGATCAAACCAAATTAGTATAAAGATGCCGTGGGACATTAGAGTTGTCAGTTACGCGTATGAGAGAAGAATGACATCCCTTGTTCAAGGAGATCACTGAATCTTGGGATAAACAAAGAACTCTTAAAAAACTTTGATGAACATTTCTGTATACTAACGTTCATCATGAGACACTTCTAAAATGGCCTGAAATGGAAATTTAAAAAGAGTCATAACAAAAAGAAAAACTCCAAACGACATCATGGAAGCCAACAGAAAACTTTTTTTCATTTGCAGAAGTGATTGAGAATAAACAAACAGTTTAGACAGACATAAGAGATACTGATCATCGATTCGAAGATACTTCATGTCTTCCTACTAAATTTAGGTATTTAAATTTGTTTAGGGGTTTCTCACTTTTATTTTTCTATGTTTTTGCCTTATGTTCCAAACTTCCAATCTTAGAGAAGCTGCAAGAAGAATTGAAGTCCAAGAAGTATGCTTTATGTTGCTTTGATAAGGAAAAAGAATTTAAGAGTTTCAAGCGTGGATAGTTTACTGTTGCTGTTACTTCTTCTCATACTCTCTATGAATTCAAAACATGAAACAAATTTACTGCAATGTTGGCAGCAATCGTTTGTTTGTCATATCAAGTATCAACCATGAGGTATCTTATAAAACAGATAATGTGTGTAACTTATAGTAGAAGTTTTAGTAGAAATTGTGTAATTATGTTGGATTATATAAATTTTAGTAGAAACTTCACAAAAAAAGCGGCGCCAAAGAAAATCAAATGATCTTAAAGACAAAGAATCGAATGATTCAACACATCTGAAGGACGATGCGATGCGAGCTAGAAGCCAGAAAACAACCAATGATGTGTTTCGTTCGTTCTTGGTAGGGATCATCCCAATGTTCACTACCATGAGCGTGCCTTCCAACAATAGCATTAGCATCACTGCACTGAATGAACTTGAGGACATCTCTCTCTTCCTAAGGCCTAGCTCATTGTACAGTGATGTCTTGTGGATTCTCAACCGCAACGATAACTTAAGCAACCATCTGCAGCTTCTTTGATGTTTTCGCCAGATTTGTAATTTCAGTTAAGTGGTTTCGAACCGAACCGATTACCGAGTTTCTATGCTTCCTCTTACCGAGTTAAAAACCGAAACTAAACCGAATTGACCAAACTTTGGCTTGGGTCAGTCTCAGTCCAAATGTTCAGGTTGGTTTTGCTGTTCATTGCTTTCTCGTGCCATTCTCTAAAAGATTCTGTATTTTAACAGCCTTGAGCCTCTTGTCTTATTCTTACTTTTTGGGTGAATAAACTAAAAATAAACGAAAGTATCAAATTTTAGCCTTCTTTTGGAGTTAAATCTCAATATCGTATTTGAAGTTTATTGTTTTACGCCTGTGTTACATGGTTCTTGTGTCGAATTACGAAATTGATGGTGGAATCCATGTTTTTTTTGTTTGACAAAATTGATGGCTCTTTGTCAATATTTCCATCAAAAATATCACGAAATAATTATATGCTTGTTTCTTGGAAATAATAAAAGTTTGTATTCGTATCTGTATCGTATAATAGAGTTAAACCTTTAAGATTTTTTTTCCTATGTTCTGCTTTATACTTTTCTACAGATATTTCTATTCACCTTTGCACCATAAATTCATGAAATATGTAAGGAAAAAAAAAACTATATTATTTAAAATAACATGTCATTTCAGTATCAGAGAATTCAGAAACGCCCAAACTAATTAATTAAGAATTTTCAAAAAAAACTCAACAGTCAAAGAAACTGTTGGCATTTTAGTCATTTACTTAAAAAGCGTCAGAGCCGTTACCGCTCACCATGATTATCATCAATCTCCACCGCCACCGCTTCACCGTCGACGCCAATCTCCGCCGGTACCGCAATCCACAAATCCAACGGCGTACATTCAATCTTATGCTTGGCTCTCCAATCCAACGCCTGACAACCACGTGAGCAATAATTCACCTTCCCACAAACAGAACATCGCCGGAACTCATGAGCCCGAGTCTCCGGCCTTCCACAACCACCATGCGAACACATCCTTAACCCTTCCGCTAAATCAACCCGACCCGAACTAAACCACTCCTTCAAAAACCGGTTAACCGGATGAATCTCCTGAACCGGAACCACGCTTAAATCAGTTAAGATCTCGTCTCCACATTTCAGAGAGAGGTAAGAGCGTAGAGAACACGCGAGCTCACGCGCGTTAGCTTGAATCAAAAGACGACGACCTTCAGAGACGTCACGAGGAACACCGTAACCGTCTTGAAGACAGTGACCAAGCTCTCGTAACGCATCGACGTGGCCTAAATAAGCAGAGCGTGCACAAAGAGTAACGCCGGCGCGTAGGTTCTTATCGGTTTTTGAACCGCCGCTTCCGTTAAACTGAATCACCGATAACGAATAAAGCGCCGGCGCGTGAGATTTAATCGCGGCTTTAGCCATTAAAGACGCGCCGCTCACTGGATTTTGAAGACAGTAAAATCGGATCTGAAGAAGGAAACAAAATCGAAAATCAGAAGAAAATCACAAAAATCGAAACGGAGATTTTGAAGGTAGCGACACGAACCATTCCGAGAGCGTAAGAAGCGTCGATGTTTCCGGCATTAACACAGAGTTTGAGGAATTTATGAGAAGAATCTGACCATTTCTCCGCCGTGACGGCTAGGGTTTGAGTACCGGCTTTTGATAAAACCAGAGGTTGTAAACCTAACCGATTCAATCTCTTGCATCTGTAATACAACAAAAGAGACTGAGTCACAACGGAAATCGAGAAAATGCAGTCGCCGGAGCAGAGACTTACGTGGAGAGTACGGTGAGGAAATCGGAAGGAGAAGAAGCGGAGGAAGCGAGTTTACGGAGGATAGAGATGATGAGATCGTCATGTAAGTTGTCAAAATGGTTATGGTTCTTCTCTAACCTCTGTTTTTTGTTGAGATGCGTCATCGGAAGAAGATTGGTTATTGTTGGTTTCGTGTGTTGAGAGATTTGAGATGAGAGAGTAGAGAGAAAATCTGGAGAAAGGAGATGGTGTGTACATTTATAGACACACACACTCGTGATTAAGAAACTGCTTCAATGGCCTCGTGGCTCTTTCTTCCTCGTTCCCTTTTTTTTTTTTTAAACACATTAGGTCAAAGCCTTAAAAGGGCAATAGCGTAATTACCTTTCTTCATTTTTTTCCATTTTATTTTACCGTCGACTATTTTAACTACCATGAGTTTTTTTGTCAATCCAAGGACCAAATAGATTGTTTACCATAATTTACATTTGTTTGAAACTGAGATATTATAGCTAGTAATCATGGTGATTGGGATCAATTGTAATACATTGACTAAGAATTAGAATAATAACAACAGGGGTAAAAAGATAAATAGTAAAAGTTTATTGGTTATAAAAACTCGTTATAATTACTTCTTATCGTACAAGAGGTTCGTAAGAAAATCTACTTTTTTTTTTTAATTTTCAAACTATATGATAACTTTACTACTGTATAAAGTTTAGATATTACCTATTAAAGCATTTTAAGGAAATATATTAAAAACATATCATGTATAAAGATAAATAGATAAACATGAATTTAATGATATTTAAGAAAAAAGATTTAAAAAAGATTAATAACCTTTGTTGAATAATTTTTAAAAGGCAACTCATTTTCATGTAAAGATATTTTCTTGACTTTTTATTTGGATATTTCTTGATGAACATAAAATAATATCTAGTAAATTGTATTCTATCGATAAATAATATCGTATTTATAGACATCTTCTAAAATAAGATGTAAGTCATGTTCGTTTCGTAGTGGTCCTAAATCTTATTTACTTTGTAAACTTAAGTTCATTGAAATGTTTTAATGATCAATTTTGTTCGATTAATAGTTATGGAGTATTTTAAGTACAGTAAAAAGTACTAGACAAGAAAAAAAAGAGAAGAAAATTACAGAATACAAAAATTAAAGACCAGTATCTTAGTTTCTAGATGCATTTTGAAGATTTTACAAACAAAAGATAGAATTAATCACATGCTAGCAATTAATAAACAAAATCCTTTCGTAATACAGTATATGTTTATGATTCCGTTGTGCAACACGATTAAGTTCATCTTATCACACTATCAAATCGCAAAGCCATTAAGAACATAACCAATGATCAGTGTGGAGGCGACCATTTTCCCTAATAACGGTTTAATTAAAAAAAGTAGAGTGTTATATATTTATGTGACTGACTTTGGTCAAAATCAAAATATTACATCCCACGACATGGCTTTAGAAAGAAAATACTCAATAGGCAAAGATGAGGAGGGACACCTTAGTACGGAACACACAAAAAAAAAAAAAAAATCATGTGGCCGTCACATACGAACACATATGGTTGGCCATCGTTTAATTGTAAGCAAAGTTACTAAACACGTTTTCATTTGTTATTCTTTTTTGTGTATATTTTGGAGTGAACTTGTAGAAAAGGGCACCCTAATCATTCCATATTGGTGTAGACTAAGAAAACA